GGCAACAGCGGGTGCGGGCTGCTGGAGGCACGGGGCGTGAGGTGGTACTGACACTGCAGATCGGGCAGGGAGAGCACTGGGGTTAGCTTCTATTTTTATTCTATCTTGGAACGTGCATCATACAAACATTTCGCCCATCGCTCCTCATTTTTGTCCCCTCACTGCTTCTCAGCATTTATGCCTCCCTATTTTTTCAGTTATCACCACACTCACTTCGCTTTATAAGAAACCAAGGTATCGGGAAACTGGAAAAAAAAAATAAAAATATGTAATTCCTGTCTGCAAAAGAGAAGTGTCATCCCCCGACTGTCACAAAACCTAGCCAATAACAAAACCAGGACAATTTTTAAGTTAGCACATTTTGGGGAAATTCCTACTCTACACGTTTGCCAGCTTTTCGGGGAAATAAAGCAGAGATCTTGGAGACCACCACCTGCACAAGCCGTTTGTTCTCCGGGCCTCGCCAACGGACCGTGCTAAGAACAAGGTGCGGTGGGTTATCAACTTTCTTCCTTTGTTTTCTTTGCGACCGAAGCAACGTTTTTACTGTCAGCTTTTTGTACGTGTGGATAATTGGTTTTCGTTACATGCACATCATCAAAGATGCTGATGCTAACGGCGGTTCGGTGGTGGTGGTGTTTTTCCTATCGGCTGTTTAACAGTGTACATCAATACATCACAGCTGTTCAGGAGAGGAAGGGAAAATCGGTTCTGCAGTTGAAACTGGAGAGATCATTTTCTCTTGGCCAGAAGTAATTAAAATAGTGAAATTAGCTCACAACTCGCTTTACTATATGTTGGCACATAACTCATTACCTATACGGGGACTCGGTATCAGATACGTTCCGTACCACCAGTTCCCTAAAGACAAAGCAGCTCCAAATTTGTAGTGCTGTTGAATTAGGAAGCGATTTCAGTTCAACTGTGGAATATAAAAGTACGGATAAACGTTGTTAGTGTGTTGGTGTATTTTTGATGGCGAGAGCAATGCGGAGGTCTATGGCTGTAGCTGTGCAGAGATCTGCAGATGACACACAGCCACGTGACGGCTGGCAAGCGAGGACGGGTACCCTGCCATCCAAGAAGAACAGATGCCTGTCTGTAACAGCAGCCCATTTAGCATGTGAATTACTTTCAGCTGGGAGAACGGAGATTCTCCAGTTGTCCTACAGTAATAAATTCCTGAAGCCAATGTTGGTCAAAGTCATGCGGCATTATAGCACAACAGGAGGAGGCAGTTTTTCTTGCTCTCGTGTTTAGAGAGATTGTTTTAAACTAGCTGCTATAAAAGGCTCAAGGATGTTTTCTGAGTTGCAGAAGGCATTAAGTTTTCTTAAAATAAGGTGCTAATAAAAATGTTAAATGTTTTCATTTTGTTAAATGCTAATTATACTGCTTCTATCTGTGTTACCAACACACATATTAATGAGAAGGCTCAGGGAGGCGCCTTTACGGAAGGGGAATTTTACTGAAGGGTGGTCGCAGCCTGGGTTGGGGTTCCCAGTAAGGTCCCCATCCTTGGAGGTGCCCGGAACCGCCTGGGCACGCCCGCAGCAGCCGGGGCCAGAGCAGCCTCCCAGGCACCTTGCCGCTGCAGCAGTTCCTGGTTCTGCCCTGTTACAGTACACAACACGCGTTAGCGAGCTTCGGATGCAGCAGGTGACCCTGCCGGGGAGGCAGGATGGGGTATTTTGACAACCGAGTGAGCATCTTTGCTGACTTTGCACACCTGATACTAGCAGTCTGAGAGGCAGCTTCGCCAGCCAGCGTTCGTCAGCATTGCTCCTCTCGTCCTCAAAAATCACAGCGGAGCAGGAAGACCTACTTTCCTCTGTTTCAACTCTTATTAACAGAAGACTTGCAGGATAAAACACGGCTTACTTTTAATTCCACGGTTCTGTCTCGAACTGGTTCTGGCCAAGGCCTTGGCGGTGGAGCAGGAAGGCCGTGCACGGGCTCTCCCCCCCATTCCTGAGGAGGGATGGCGTCTAGCCCCTTCCCAGCCCGGCCAGGCTCCCTCGCTGCTCCCGGCTGCGATATCCAACCTTCCTCCCGCCGGCAGGGCTAGGTTCCTCCTTTAACGGTTGGAGTTGATGCTCTTAAAGGTGTTTTACCAACCTAAACGAGTCTATAACTGCCCTCAGCCGCCTCAAACCAAGATGGCGCACCTCACCTCCCGCCA